AACCCAGGAAATGAGGATTAAAAAAACACATCAAGTGGTTTTAAGTGGAATAAAGTCTGCCGGACAATTATAATACCGCAACCTAAAAACATTAGAAAACGAGAAAATAACTAAATAAAACTAGAGAATCAAAGAGGCGAATATTTTAGTGCTTGGCTGATAAAAGCTCTAACAGGTGTGCAGGGGCGGATTTAGGAAATGTGGGGCCCTAGGCAAAGACCGGCAGGGGGCCCTCTAAATTCAGAAGACAACTACGGTGGCCCAGAGGTGTCAACACAAATACAAAAGCTGCAATAGGTATATATACAAGCCACAATGGAAATATAAAACTAAATCAGAAGTTGTTGTGAAGTGTTGTGGCTTTTGTATTTGCGTTGCAGCTTTTGTATTTATGCTGCAGCTTTTTTTATTTCAGCTTATGTATTAATGTTAACACCTCTGGGCCACCATAAACAAAACAGACCCATTACACAGATACAGCAATTTTAATAGACATCCATTATTAGTTCTAGGATTGTCCCTCTCCCTTTCTCCCCTTTTCTTGTTGTTTTAATCTCTACGTTTTGTACTCAGCTGACTTTTCATGCTGTCTCTAAAGCAATTAAACATTTTTTCCAATCACTAAGCTCACTTAGCTAATTGCTCCTTCCTGTGTTTCCAAAAAGGCAACAGGAAAAGTAAATAACCCAGTCTTTCTTTTCACTGTAGACTAGCCATGATCTGGTTATCTGTTCTCCATTTTTCATTTGGATAAAATAATAGCTGCATGAATCATGACAGCAGACAAGATAGAGGAGAGCAGGAGGCGGGGTTACCAATCTGCTTGCTCTGGAGAACAGAGTTCGCTGCTTTTAGATGTTGTCGCCAAAATCTGCAGTAGCAGAAAAAAGTCTGTAGATTTGGCACTAGGTGCTTTTTGAAATAAAAGTGCTAGAGGGGTCTGACAAGTTTCTAAATATGGCAAGAAAAGCACGAAGTTGGCAACACTGCTCTTTGCATTGTTTATTTTTTTAAAGGTTTGCTGCTGTCTGTTTGGACCTTTCTGAACATGTGCAGCAAATGGACTGATCCAATATGGTGGACACTGAAGGGGGGGACTGAGGGACACTTAATATTATAAGCGTTCTTATTTTAGAGAAAGGATTTTTTTTTTTTTATCAAGAAACCATTAATGTGCACAAATAAGGAAAAGTTGTATTAACCATACATGTGAACAGAGTTTTATGCGGGCCCCAGGAACTTAGGGGTATTGCCTAATGGTAAATCTCCTCTGCAGGTGTGTCAGTTTGATGACTAACTGAGTGCTGCTCTGCTCTGCTGCTTGGTGGTCATGGACCAGGGGACCTCCTGGCACTTCCCGGCTCTTTCTTTGTGGTTGTTTATCTATTTTTTAAGATGTTGACACAAAAAGTCAAAATTTTTTGACAGAATTTACATTTTTGGGAGAATTGAAATTGTTAATGCCTGTTTTTCTGTCATGTGATTTAAAATGGATTAGTAAAATATGTGTTCTTCATTCATGTTTCTAGATTATCCAATTTCTATCATCCTGTGCCTAGTTTAAATTTGCATGAAAATATAATGTTTTCTTTTTTCTAAGAAATTGCAGCATGTTTTCTTTCACGTTCTGTAAATGTACTCCACAAGAAAATATGACCATTTTAGATTAACTCTTTAACAAATCATTAAATATTTTATATGAAATAAAAGGTTGAGCATCTTCACAGAGGCTATAATTCTAATGGCTCTGACGTTTTGCAGCTCAACTGTTGCTCTATAATCCCCATTTAAAACTAGGATGATGGCTGATGTTTTTAGCCCAANGGGAAAAAAGTCAGAATTTTGAAGGGAAAAAAGTCAGAATTTTGAGAGGAAAAAAGTCAGAATTTTGAGGTGAAAAAGTCAGAATTTTGAAGGGAAAAAAGTCAGAATTTTGAGTGAAAAAAGTCAGAATTTTGAGTGAAAAAAAGTCAGAATTTTGAGGTGAAAAAGTCAGAATTTTGAGGTGAAAAAGTCAGAATTTTGAGAGGAAAAAAGTCAGAATTTTGAGAGAAAAAGGCAGAATTTTGAGAGAAAAAGGCAGAATTTTGAGGAAAAACTCCGAATTTTGAAAAAAAAAAAAAGTCAAAATTCTGACTTCTTTTTTTGTAAACCTGTTCCGTACATTTTTAAACTTGTTAGTTGAAAGAGGTGCAGCAGTTTGCCTGGTGGTGGTAATCCTTCATGCAATAGGCTGCAGTTTAAACTCTCCTCCTGGTTGAGCTGCTGTTATTCCCGCTCTGAGGAGGCTCTGCAGCCGCATGGCAGCTCTGCAAAGCTCCAAAATAATCCCCTCACAAAAACACATCTGCAGCTTGAAACAGCAGATGTATCTGAGCAGCGGACTGACCTTTAAATGGAGGACCTTTGCAGCATGCTCTGCAGCACAGCTGGAGCTCCTCACATCATGGCTGGCTGCTGCATCATGTCCGCCTGAACCTGTGAGCCTCAGCAGAGAGAAAGAAAGGAGAGAAACTAAAAGACCGGGCGGTTTGGCGTCCAAACAGAGGAGCAGAGAGGAAGAGGAGGATGAGGAGTAGGATGATGCGACGACAGCAGGAGGGAGAGCATGGAGGGAGGGGCATCAGGTGCACACCCACTAACCCAGGAAATGAGGATTAAAAAAACACATCAAGTGGTTTTAAGTGGAATAAAGTCTGCCGGACAATTATAATACCGCAACCTAAAAACATTAGAAAACGAGAAAATAACTAAATAAAACTAGAGAATCAAAGAGGCGAATATTTTAGTGCTTGGCTGATAAAAGCTCTAACAGGTGTGCAGGGGCGGATTTAGGAAATGTGGGGCCCTAGGCAAAGACCGGCAGGGGGCCCTCTAAATTCAGAAGACAACTACGGTGGCCCAGAGGTGTCAACACAAATACAAAAGCTGCAATAGGTATATATACAAGCCACAATGGAAATATAAAACTAAATCAGAAGTTGTTGTGAAGTGTTGTGGCTTTTGTATTTGCGTTGCAGCTTTTGTATTTATGCTGCAGCTTTTTTTATTTCAGCTTATGTATTAATGTTAACACCTCTGGGCCACCATAAACAAAACAGACCCATTACACAGATACAGCAATTTTAATAGACATCCATTATTAGTTCTAGGATTGTCCCTCTCCCTTTCTCCCCTTTTCTTGTTGTTTTAATCTCTACGTTTTGTACTCAGCTGACTTTTCATGCTGTCTCTAAAGCAATTAAACATTTTTTCCAATCACTAAGCTCACTTAGCTAATTGCTCCTTCCTGTGTTTCCAAAAAGGCAACAGGAAAAGTAAATAACCCAGTCTTTCTTTTCACTGTAGAC